ATTTAGATGGCTAGAAAATAAATAATGGTACACCAAAAATCTAGTGTTTTCCGTTTTGGAGCATTTTGAGACGGCATTTTCTCGAAAAGGAAAACTAATTATTTTCTTAATCATTTTTTACTCAGAGTCCTATCGGTGAACTATGGCGTGACTCCAAAAATAAAAGCATTGAAATAATATAAGAGGTCCAAAAAGAACCTCAATCTTGGTAAAAAAAAGTTGAAAAATCCTTAAATTACTGAAAATGATCTTCTAATTTTCTTTCTTTGGAAAACAGCTGAATGGATTATTCTGAAACTTCTTGTACAGAAGATAAGGTAACCAAACAACTTGTTAAAGCTATCCCGACAATGATCAAAAAAACGGAAGTAGTCGAAAAAATTTCGGATATTTTGAGAAAAAAACCCGTAAAAATTAAAAAAATGGAGATTTTGCGAAAAAAGTGATTACTACGCCAGATTTCACCGAATCAAAACAACTAAAGTGTCATTGGATTGTTCGAACAATGGACGATCTTGTGACATCTAAATGGTAAAATTCGCGGGTAAGGCAATATATAATGGAACGTTGAAAATCTATTATTTTCCTTTTTGAAGCCTATTCAGACGCTTTTACTTCGAAAACTTCTCTTATTTCCTTTTTTAAATTCAGTTACTTAGAGTCCTAACGGTGGTCTATGGTATGAATCCAAATTTAAAAGCCTCAATATAGTATAAATAGTCTAAAAGGGCCACAATCTTTGAAAAAAGTCGAAAAATCGTTATATCTGTAAATCTGCTTCTAATGGTATAAGGGAGGTAAAACTGTCCAATGGATCTTTCTGAAACTTCTGGTACATGAAGTTAAGTTCCCATACCACTTGTTAAATCTATCCCGATAATGATCCGTAAACAGGAAGTAGTAAAAAAAATATTCGATAATTAAAAAAAAAAAGACAGTAAAAATATCGGTGCTCTTGCAACAATTGGGATTTCATCGTCGGGTGTGACCGGCTCAAAACATCTAAAGTATCGTTTGGTAGCTCGATAAATGGGCTATTGTATGACACACTTCCTGTCTGATTCCTGAAAGCCGGTTCAGTGCTGCTTGCAGGTCTAGTTATTATTTTTTTTTTCCACGGGAGCCTATTTCTCCATGATCGAAAACAGATATCGGTCTGGAACCAAATTTTCTATTGGGAAACCATGTGGCTACTTGATAAAACAATTTTGAAACTTCTGCGTATACCGGAAGTAACCGAATTTTGTACTTTTTTCCGAAATCGAAAATCGGCCGTAGTTTCATCAATTCTTTACCTATTTTCAAACAAATGACATTTTCGGAAACCCCGAATCTTTTCCGAGATAATGGCTATCTCACATTTTTCAATTTCGAACATTAATCTATGGCTTTTGTCGTTCGAATTTTGAAAATACGTTGTTTACTAGACAGTTTTTGTTATTCTGCAAAAATTTCAAATTTGACCTACATTTTTGGATACCTGAAGTCTATCCGATTCCAATAATATAATTTTCATTCAGATTTATCGCCTTTTATTTTTCGATTTTTTTCGAATTTTCTGTCCATTTTATAACCCTTATATTTTTTTGAAAGCTTCAATTGATGTTTCTGAAACTACTGGAACATAAAGCTATATAGTCAGACCGGTTGGTAAAGCAATTTCAACAACGATCCGGAAATCGGAAGTAGTCGCGAAACAAACGCAAAAAATGGGTGTGTTGGGAAAAAACTTGATTTCTCCGACGAATTAAGCTTTCGTTGAGTGGCCCGAGGAATGGACTGTCGTATGGTGCCCAATTTATACGGATACTATAACCAAGCAGCAAAATATGACAAGCTGAAAATCAAGTATTTTCTGATTTTAAGCGTTTTTGGACGCCTTTATCTCAAAAACTTAATCTACAAATTTTTTTTTTACTTTCTCTATCGAGAGTCCCCCGGTAGTCGTGTGCATGAATCCATCCAATAAGACTTTGAAGTGTCTGGAATAGGTAAAATAACGGACTGAAAATCGAAAAAAGTTAAAAAATCGTCAAATTTTAGAAAATGCTCTATTATTTCTTTATTGAAATTTAATTTTCGATATTTTGACATTTTTGAATTTTTGGCACTTTTGAACATAGGATTTCTCAGGGCCATTTTATCTGATCAGACAATGTAATATATCATTACAGAGCCCTGTCGCTATCTAATTGCCCAAATTGGTTATTAAAACTATCCCGACAATAATCTCCATACCGGACGTATTCAAAAAATGAAGAAAAAGGTTAAAAAAAAAATAGCGCTCTTGCTAAAAACTTGATTTCTCCGTCAGATCTTAGCGGACCAAAGGAACTAAAGTGTCGCTGGATAGCCCCATTAATGGACTATCATATGACATCTGAATGATACGATTTAGATGGTTAGAAAATAAATTAAGCCCTGTCGTATCTAATTGCCCAAATTGATTATTAAAACTATCCCGACAATAATCTCCATACCGGACGTATTCAAAAAATGAAGAAAAAGGTTAAAAAAAAATAGCGCTCTTGCGAAAAACTTGATTTCTCCATCAGATCTTAGCGGACCAAAGGAACTAAAGTGTCGCTGGATAGCCCCATTAATGGACTATCATATGACATCTGAATGATACGATTTAGATGACTAGAAAATAAATTAAGCCCTGTCGCTATCTAATTGCCCAAATTGGTTATTAAAACTATCCCGACAATAATCTCCATACCGGACATATTCAAAAAATGAAGAAAAAGGTTAAAAAAAAAATAGCGCTCTTGTGAAAAACTTGATTTCTCCATCAGATCTTAGCGGACCAAAAGAACTAAAGTGTCGCTGGACAGCCCCATTAATGGACTATCATATGACATCTGAATGATACGATTTAGATGGCTAGAAAATAAATTATGGTATGCCGAAAATCTAGTATTTTCCGTTTTGGAGCATTTTGAGAGGCCTTTTTCTCAAACACAACAACTACGTTTCTTCTTAAACTTTTTTTTACTATGAGTCCAAAAATAAAAGCATTGAAATAACATAAGTTGTCCAAAAAGAGCCTCAATCTTGGAAAAAAGTTGAAAAATCCTTAGATTACTGAAAATGTTCTTCTAATTTTCTTACTTTGGAAAACAGCTGAATGGATTATTCTGAAACTTCTTGTACAGAAGGTAAGGTAACCAAACAACTTGTTAAAGCTATCCTGACAATGATCCAAAAACCGGAAGTAGTCGGAAAAATTTCCAATATTTTGAGAAAAAAAACATAAAAAGTAAAAAAATGGCGATCTTGCGGAAAAAGTGATTACTACGCCAGATTCCACCGAATCAAAACAACTAAAGTGTCATTGGATTGTTAGAACATGGACGATCTTGTGACATCTAAATGGTAAAATTCGCGGGTTAGGCAATATATAATGAAACGCTGAAAATCTATTATTTTCCTTTTTGGAGCCTATTCAGACGCTTTTATTTCCTTTCTTAAATTCTGTTACTTAGAGTCCTAACGGTGGTCTATGGTATGAATCCAAATTTAAAAGCCTCAATATAGTATAAATGGTCCAAAAGGGCCACAATCTTTGAAAAAAGTCGAAAATTCATTATATCTGTAAATCGGCTACATTTTTTTTTTCAAATTTGATTGCAAGAAATGTGGTCATGAGAGGGCAAACCCTTTCGATTTCTAGCTTTCCACGACTTTCCAATCCGGAGTATCCCCCTTTGCTGAAAGGCTTGTGAACACGCTAGAGGCTATGTTTTTTAATAGATGTTCTTCAAATTTAATAGGAAGCATTGAGGTAATAAGAGGATGAACCTTATTGATTTTCAGCATTCAGTCTTTGCATTATAGTTATCCCCCTTTTCCAAAAATATTGTGAACAAGATAGAGGCTGTTGTTTTTATACGCCCACATTGAAATGTGGTCGTATTTTGTCGTCGCCTCCGTCCGTCCAACGTCCACAAGCAATTGTGGACGCTCTAGAGGCTAAAGTTAATATCTGATTGACTTCAAATTGATACACAGTGTTTAAGGTCATGAGACGAAGAATCCTATTGATTTTCAGCGATTTCCTATAATTAATGCCAGACTATGGCCCTTGATCACTTCAAAATATCTTATGGACGCTCTAGAGGCTAAAGATAATATCTGATTGACAGAGTGTTTCAGGTCATGAGACGAAGAATCCTATTGATTTTCAACGATTTCCGATAATTACTGCCAAAGTTATGGCCCTTGATCACTTTGAAAAATCTTGTGATGCTCTGGAGGCTAACTATCATCTGATTGACTTCAAATTGATCTACAGAGTTTAAGGTCTTTAGACGAACAGGTATATTGATTTTCAATGAATTTTGATAGATTGAACAGCTAAATCCATGATATTAAATGTATCGTATACTAAACGTTAGCATGGGGCAGAACTTTATAAAAACCAAACAAATTCTAATGATTTTCTGATAATTACTTAATTATTTTAGTGTATTATAAATTTTCATTACCGAAAAAAGTAAAAATATGCGACAACTCATGTTGACTGCCCGGACGATTTAGCTGATGTGGGCGTATGTTTCGTTGCCTGGCAACCTATCTTTAACAAATTTCTTTCACATTTCATGGGAAGCCTTCGGTTCATGAAAGGATGAACCATATGGATATTAAGCAATCTGTGACTTTCCGTTTTCATATTTGGCTTGAAGCATAGGGGGTCATCAATCCCTATCAATATTCATAATCTGCATCCTTTCGTTCTGAGTTATCCCCCCTTTGCCAAGAACCTTGTGAATGCGACAAAGGCTAGTTTCGGCAGATTTTTTTTCAAATTTGGTTGGAAGCAATGGAGTCGTAAGAGGATGAACCTTAGAGATTAGATTTCTTCAAAGATCCTACATCTTTATTAAATTTGCTCAACATCCAAGTTTTCCTTTTAGATAAGCTGCATTTGAGACAAAGTTGCTGTGTGGGTGTATTCTTTAATATTTGGAAAATAATCAAATTAATTTTGTGTCTAGGTATAAAGAAGGTATGTTAAAGGCTAGATCACATGATATAGAAACTGTTAAACTAATAGAGGGTGCAGCAGGTGGTATGGTAGCTACTATAGATAATATTGGTCCAGAAGCTCTAGAAGAATGGGAAGTGGATGAACTTCTTGATTGGACAACTAGTCTTAATTTTGAGGAGTAAGTTGAATAATAATTGCTTGTGATTTCCATTACATGACAAAAATAAAACTTGACAGTTATATAAAATGGAAAGAAAATAAAGAAACCAGTTGGTGTTTCCTGAATTGACTAAAAATTTGTTTAAATGAGCAACCTTAATTTTGGAGATCCAGGCATATTCATTTTCTCTCCTATAATTTTTCAAAACTCTGATCTAAATTTGAATTTTCTCCAAGCATGTTTGTAATAAAAAAAACTGACAGCCTTTTTGTTGGCTTGTATTTCTGTAATAACTCATTTGTATCATATTACAGCTATTGGACAGGATGGAAAGATTTAGCCACAAGCGCACATTCAGAACAAAAAACAGGTAATATATTATCTAGCTAGTTCATTTTGCCTATTTCTGTAAGAGATGTACTTTCTTCAGATCTAACTGAACACCAGTCTAAAAAAAATATTCTCTGCTGTGGATTTTGGAAACGATATAAGCTGCATTACTTTGTATTTTTTGAAGAATGTTTATGGATTTGGCTAGTAATTTACCATACTTAAAAAAATAAATTGCAATAACCTAGTTTTAAAATGATTAAGGCATTTCTAACAGGTTGTAGTCTTTGTAAATATGTTGCGAGTGAAGTTAAGGCGGTTTTTGTTGTGTAAACCCTTTTGAATGAAAGAATGAATCTTAATTACCTTGGGGTTTCAACAAATGTTATATTAATTATGTGTAATATCTCTGTATCTTTATACTTATAGATGAGAGAAAAAGAGTTTATACAGATTTAGATCCATATGAACTGACATTATCATCTGGTGCTTCTAGATATCATTCTACAAGACAATCACAAAATACTCCAGTTTCTGTCATTAGATAACACGTCTTTATAATATTGTGTGTAATTTGTGTTTTTATAAGCTGACATTGAAATGTGGTCGTATATGCCGTCCATCCATGGTCCAGCGTCCACAATTGCTTGTGGATGCTCTAGAGACTGAAGTTAATATCCAGTTGACTTTAAATTTATACACAGTGTTAACGGTCATGAGACGAAGAAGCCTATTGATTTTCAACAATTTCCGATAATTACTACTCACTTTATGGCTCTAATAACTGCCGGACAAAATGGCCACTCCCTGTACGCAAATAGTATTAAAGTATCTAATATCAAGGTTGTGGACCCTCTAGAGGTCACAATATTGATTCAATTTTGATGAAACTTAAAATATACTGAGCGCCATGGAAAACGCAAAACGCATCACTTAGTTTTTCGTATAACAAAATGATCCTGTAAACATATCTTATTTATTTTACTTCTTATTGTGAACAATATTCAAATGGGAACACATCAATAACAACACATTTGTACACTTATGGATTTTTAATCTGTAATCAAGGGTACAAAGTCAGAGGGGTCAAAACCAAAAGTACGACACAGATGTCATTTGCACGTGTGTCCTCCACGGGCCATCATCACGGTAGGCTACAGCATTAACGCGACCCCTGCAAATGTGTAGGGCGGTCCGGTGATGAAATGTGAAGCCTCCCCACACCATTACACTTCCCCCACCCCATCGATTCGTTTCGAAGACGCAGCAGTCTGCAAGACGTTCCCCAAGACGTCTCCACACACGTTGACGGTCATCAGCGTGATAAAAGATGAAAGTGACTCTCATCACTGAAGAGCACACTTTGCCAGTCTACTCTTCTCCATGTCTGGTGTCCTTGAGTCCATATCTACGGTGGCTGATAAGGGACATGAAATATGATATAATTTGTTCTTTTTAATTTTTACCCAAGTCAATTTTAATATAATTTGTTTTTTTGTAATTTTCACCCAAGTCAATTTTAATATAATTTGTTTTTCATAATTTTCAACCAAGTCAATTTTAATATAATTTGTTTTTTTATAATTTTCACCCAAGTCAATTTTAATTTCCACCCAAGTCAATTTTAATATAATTTGTTTTTTTATAATTTTCACCCAAGTCAATTTTAATATAATTTGATTTTTATAATTTTCACCCAAGTCAATTTTAATATAATTTGATTTTTATAATTTTCACCCAAGTCAATTTTAATATAATTTGATTTTTATAATTTTCACCGTACATATCAAACGCCACTGACGGTGATGATCCCTGAGGATAGCTCCAACATAAGGTCGTCGTGCACCGAGTCCTACTTCTCTTCGACGACGTCTTACAGTGTTGGCACTTACTGGTCCTTGTCTTCCGACGACTGCTGCACCTGTTCGAGTCGCTGGGCGGAATCTGTCACGCAGATGAGTGACCCGGATGTAGCGGTCTTGAGTCTGGGTTGTAACACGTTGTGGACCAGGTCGTTGACGATCATGTGTTGATCCAGTAACTCAAACATGTTCCACCAACCTTACAATAGTGGACTGATGACAATTGAAGTGTCTGGCAATAGCATGTGTAGACATGCCAGCCCTGGACATTCCCATGGCTTCATTCCGTTGATTTTCAGTAAGTCTCGGCATCTCTAGCTCGATTCCTTCACACGTCCAACAACAAATTACGACAGATTGACGTTTCACAGTTCATGTACTGCACATTAAGTTGAAAACATGCTTTTAAAGGGCTCACACACAATGCTGCACGTGAATATTGGGTTTTTCATGTGCATCTCGTGCTATTTTTTTTTAGCACACGGGCCGATATTTTTTGCGTTTGGGAGCATTGTGTGAAACAATAGTTCATAGTATTGCATAATATTATACATACAAAACCACCTAGTAATAAAATATTTGGGAAAAAAAAGTGATGCGTTTTCCATGGCGCTCAGTATATGTGTTTTAACCTGCCCAACAAAATGGCCGCTCCTTGAACACAAATAGTGTAAAAGTATGTAATACAAAGGTTGTGGACAATTTTTATCCGATTTTGATGAAACTTAAAAATATGTTTATATCTCAAAGATCTTGTTTCCTTACAATATTAGCGCATATCAGACTACAAGTCTCTGGATTATGGCCCCCAATTGTGCAAATAATCACAATTTTTATCTGATTTAAAAACCATTTAAATATATCACCATTACACCATAATGAAGGTTGAGTTGAAATTTCGGGAAAATCGTATCGAAACAAAACTGCCGACAAAATGGCTGCTCCATGTACGCAAACAGTGTAAAATATAATACAAAGGTTGTGGACCCACTAGAGGTCACATTTTTTTGTCCGATTTTGATGAAATATATGTTTATATCCCAAAGATCTCAGTTCCTTTCAATATTAGCGCATATCGGACCATAACTTACTGGTTAATTATGTGTAATATCTGATTGTATGAAAAAATCACATTTTTTTTTCTTTTCTGTCCACCTCTTGCAAAATGTGGGCGTATCTTGCATGGCAACTGCTGGTTATATATATATATACTAAACAGCAAAAAAACATGTCAGTATGATTTTAAAATTAGAGAGGCACTTTAAAATCAAATCATTCTAGAAAACGACTTACTAAATGGATCAAAACAATTTTTTGTGAACAGTATGTTGACACATTAGTGATTAATTCATCACAATTCCAAGACATTACGAGGTTTAGAGTCTGTACAGTCTATACATCAGTATCTGGTGTGTCCAGCGCGAGTATCAATAACAGCAGCGCAGCAATTGTACATGGAGTGGACCAGACGATTGATGAACGCCATTGGCACCTGGAACCACACTCTCCGAAAAGCCTGGCGCAATCCATCGGCTGTGTTTCGATGACGTGCTAAATGTGGTATGACGTGGAGTCTGAGATCTTGATCGATGTAGCGCACTGCTGTGATGTCGCCCCCTCTCTCTGGACCAAGATTTTGGAACACCACAGGACCCACTCTCTGGTTCAGGCCGATTCCACCCCAAACCATTATGCTTGGACCTCCCCATGAATATCGTTCCATGACAAATTGGTCAGAATAATGCTGGCCACTTCGAAGCCATATTCTGGTCCTGCCATCTGCAGTTGATACCCAATACTGCCTGCGTTGCCAGTTCTGGTGTTGTTTGGCAAACTGTAGACAATCACGTCGATGGTGAGAATCGGTCCACGGTAAGGTCTACGGCAATGGATGTTCCCTCTGGTGAGACGTCAGCGTACTGATGGGTCTTCCGCATGTTCCCACTGTCGGACGTGCTGTCTCAGATGCCTGTGATAACCCTTGGTCTACCAGTTCAGGGGAGATCATCCGTGGTGTTGGTGGCCCAAAAGCGTTGCTGAAGCCTGTAGATGGTCCGAACATTGACCTGGAAGTGATTGGCAACGGCTTTGGGAGTGTGGCCAGCTTCGAGGTTTCCAAGCGCATGGTTCCTCTGAGCTGTGTGAGTTGTGACATGCTGCTGCCGTTGTAGTGTGAATGATTCAACCAGGTATAGGGCTGGACCCAGTGAACAGCACGTGCAGAATGAGTTACATGAAAATCATTGAGAACACATTAACATCTCAGAAGTCAGGTTGCGTTTTTGAGAACATTTCCTGGGTTCAATTCTGTGTTTCGGAAAGAGCCTTATTGCTCAGGTAAAGTTGGAGATGTGGTCACAAATATACAATAAAAACATTTGGCAAGTTTTATGCAATGCGTCTATTCAGAGTAACATACCAACCTGGCGTTTCTTTTGCTGCTTAGTATATAACCCACTATGTTGGCCTATACTAAGATATAAAAAGTTTGAATTGTTTATTTTTCTTATATATATGGTAAGACCACACAAAAAAACCTATTCAAGTTCTAATTTAAGACAATCATTTTAACAAAAATGATAAGGGATCAGGGCGTTTTATATTTTTTAGGGTTTCACACTGCGTAGCTTGTGTGAAACACGATTGTTTTTCTTAAGATTATTCTTATTATTTTTTTTTTTTTTTTTCCACTTGAGCATATCTCAGAAACTACTTGTCGGATCAATTCGATGTCTTCAGTTTTACTGGGAAAGTGGGTGTGACTTAGAGATTAAAGCTATTTCGAACGTTCTACGACTGTGCGAAATGTCCGAAACGCCAAAGTTGTCGTTTTTTGAAATATTGCAGTAATATTAACAATAATCGTCGGATTTTAACATTGGATACATTTAGACATAGTCTGAGACAGGGCACATAGCTACGGTAGTTTAGATTTTTGATTTTCGACGAATCTTTGGAAATATTAGGCGCCAAATTTTGAAAATTTAAATTTTTACAAAAAACTTTTTTATTTATGAATATTTTTATGTGGTATTTTGCCCAGGTTTAAAGAGTCATCTGATTTGACCAAAAATGCCGCCATTGGCTAATTCAGTTTTTCAGTCCTGGATTAATTATTTATTGCTCGATTTGTAAAACAAAGATCATATGCTCCGTGGTCCAAAATGTCATTTTTTTTGTTACCGGTAAAGTTGCCTTTCGGCAACAGAAGTGACATAAATGTAACAAAAACTACAATTTTGAGAGTTCGGTACAACTTTTTGAAAACAAATATTATTTTTCTCAAATTTGGTATAACTGAAAGAGGGTGTGCCCTGTAAAGGCGCAGAAAACATCGGACTCATTTTTTTTAATTTCGATTTCGTTTTCGGGTCATTTCAATTTAAAGGTAAAAAAAGGTGAAAAAATGAGCTATTTACAACCCATTCAGGCTTTTCATTATTAAAATATTTCTTCGCAACTTTCATAAACTTGTAGCAATAATCCATACAAAGAGAATGTATGTGAAAATTAGTTTGTAATATGAGCAGTTGCCGAGAGATGGGCAATTTTGCATGAGTCACTATTTACGCTAGTTTGCCTGTAAAAGAGTCAATTATTATTGGATTATCATAAAAGTTACACCATTGGATTCGTAATGTCAATTTTAACTAGGTCAGACTAATTTAACATTTTCAATATCACCGGAAATGACGTAATTTGGGCAAAAACTGTATTTAAAGCCTTCGAAACATATAATTGATTCAAATGAGTCGTGTTTGTTATTTGTTTAAAATTTTGATATTTGATTCAAATCAACTAATAGAATGAACCCATAGGATCATATAGATATCATAAAATGATTTTTACCTTGTTCAGTTGCGAAGAAATAGGCGATTTTCAACAGGTCACTTTTCAAGGTTTTTGGTCCATGAAAGTGTCAATTATTATTCGATTTTCATTAAATTTTCACTGTGTGATACCTAATGCCATTTACGATTTCATACAAGTAATTTAAGATTTTCATTATCACCGGAAGTAACATCATTTTGGCAAAAACTGTATTTTTAGCTTTCAAAACAGATATTTTATTCAAATGAGTCTGATTTGTAATGTTTTTAAAATTATGATATTTGATTCCAATCAACAAATAGATTGAACCCATACGATCATAAAGATAGCAGAAAATGGTTTCTAACTTGTACGGATGCAGAGAAATAGCTACAAGTCACTTTCAAGGTTTTTGGTCTATAAAAGTGGCAATTATTATTTGATTTACATAAAATTTTCACCATGTGATGCCTTATGCCATTTATGATTTCATAAAACTAATTGAACATTTTCATTATCACCGGAAGTACTGTACACTTACATGTAACAAATGTATAAAATGAATTGATATTTCTGGATTTGGTTGATTCGGCTTCCATTTTATTTGATGTGTGCAATGCTTATGTGGAAACCTGTTTAATGGTTTCATTGGTACCGGAAGTGACATATATTTAGGCTAACGTGGCAATGAAAAATTCGACCTTTTTTTTTTCTATTAACGTTTAGAGAAAAAATATAACTAACTTATTTCTATGAGATCCACACTGCCCGAAAAGTATTTTCTCGTCTTTTTCTTGTCCACTGCATGCCCGAAAATATGCCCGAAGCTCTCTTATGATATGTATGCCCGAAAAAACGGTATTGATTTCGGGCAATTTTCTGTTATGTCCCCCTGAATTCTACGCCTATGACACTACAGCAAATATTTTTGACATTCAGTCACGTGGTCAGCACCGATTATGAGATACTGCTGATTAGAATTAAAAATCTTATTTTCTAAGCACACACGATAATTATGCAGTGATTTTGAAAATTATTTCACTACAAAGACCACAGGAGGCAGGTCATATATAATAGAATATATAGTTGCGTCTGACACACTACGTACAATATCTCTAAAAACATCGTGGGGTAATCAGCGCAAAGTTGGCAATCTGCGCGCCAGCTAGATAAGCGCAGATTGCAATCTGCGCGCGCGGAGTGCAATCTGCGCGAGGGGTGAAGATTGCGCCTAACATACTTTTCAATCACTGATTATATTTAATCATTGATTAAATTTTTAATTATAATCAAAGTTTAAACATGAATTTTAATCATTGATTACAAAAAATTATAGTCAAAGATTAGCTAATCTGAATTTTGAGAATACCAAACTTAGTTAACGCTAATCTCTAACTAGCTACCCAGTTAACATTGATGGTTAGATTTACGTAAAGTTTACGTCATTATGGTTAGATTTTGGTTAGCGTCCAATAATGGTAAAATTCTTTGGTTAAATTTACGTTACTTTTACGTCATAATGGTTATGGTTACTTTTACGTCAGAAAATGACGTAAATGTAACGTAAACTTTATGACGGATTACTAACCAATTTTTTTCGCTTTAAATACTTCTTGATTAAATAAAATTACAAGTGTGTGCACATTCTAACAATTGATAAATAGTTGGAATTCAGACATAATAATTATATATGTATTATTGGTTATAATTCTAACGTTATTCTAACGTAAATTTTACATCAGGTTTCTAACCGTTAGTTTATGGTTAGTTTTCTGACGTAAATCTAACGTTAGTTTTCTAACGTTAATATAACGTTAGTTTTCTAACGTTAATATAACGTTACTTTTATGTCATAATTTTAACCGTTAATTTAACGTTAGTTTTCTAACGTAAATCTAACGTTAGTTTTCTAACGTAAATCTAACGTTAATTTTATAACATAAATCTAATGTTAGTTTTCTAACATAAACCTGATATTAGTTGTATAAAGTAAAACAAATGTCAGTTTAATTTCATGATACTAACAATTAAATTACTGTCATTTTTTATCCTTAGTTTTCTTACGTAAACAAATGTCAGTTTAAAAACATGAGCACCATTTGTAATGAAGCGACTCGATGAAGAAGGCTAACCATATCCCACAGGAGAATACTGGTGTGGACTAGAATAAGCAGACGCCAAAGACTGTCATTCAATTTGGGCTTTTTGCATATTTTGTCGAACATAATTGATTAAAATATACAGTAAAACCAGATAAGACTGAACTTTATTCAGTTTATATACATTCATGTTATATTATTATATGCCTTGCTACCCATTTTTGTCCATTTCCAGGTGCCCAACAATAGAAATGAAATGGGGTTTAACGTCCTACTGTTCTGCTCCGAACTGGGCTAATGAAGACGGGCATGTGCCATACAGTGTCCTATGAGGGACATTTTGCCCGTACAGCGGCACTACGACCTACTCTTATATCGAATTCCAACTGTCAAGGGATCTTTTACGTGCACACTAATGTGTCAACAGGACCTCAGTTTTTCATCGGATCCGAACAACTAGACAGGTGTCCTTATCAGGCCCTACGTCACGCATCACTTTCTCGGCCAATGCAGGGATCGAACCTTTTAACTCCTTTAAGAATTTCAGCCTGTAAGCGACACATAAAGAGAAAAAGGAATGAATGAATGACCTACTCTCATTTCGAATTCCAGCTGTCAAGGTTTCGTTTACATGCACATGCAACATGAGCACAAGATCTTGATTTTTTGTCCTATTTGAAGGACTAGACACTGTCCTACATTACAAACAAGGGGAAAATTCTATACCAGGATCGGACCCCTCGTTAGTTAGCCAGTGTGTTAACTTGAAAGTTAACCATTAGCCATTCAACCACGCCAGTGTGCTACAAGGGAGTTTTATCCGGACAGCTGTGCTAAGGCCTACTCATATATTGAGTTCCAACTGTCAGGGGATCTTTAACATGCATGCCGATGTGTACATGGGACCTCAGTTTTTCGTCCCATCCGAAAGACTAGAAACCTGTGCAGTGCACAAACACATTCTCCTTATTATTCCTGTCTGTGACTACAGTAACTTGATATTGTACACATTGGAGTGCACGTAAACGATCCCTTGGTAGTTGGAATTCGATATAAGAGTATTCTGTTGTGCCGCTGCCCGGGCAAAATTTCCCTCATAGCACACTGTATGGTGTAGGCCCATCTTCATTAGCCCGGATTAGGAGCAGAACAGTAGGATGTTAAACCCCATTTCATTTCATTTTGTGTACATGGGACCTCAGATTTTCGTCCCATCCGAACGACTAGACAGCTGTCCTTGTCAGGCCCTCTGTCCTGCAACACTGCCAAGCAGAAACCACATCGGAAAATCCTGATGAACACTAGCCAGTCAGTGGCTCCGGGGTCATAAATGTAGTGCCACAAAAAAAAAATTTGCAGTTCACAAACACATTCTCCTTACTATTTGAGTCTGTGACGACAGCAACTTGAAAGTAGTCCAATTAATAGCCTTTTTTATGTGGTTTTGCAATCGAAATCAAACCTGAGAGGGAAAACAAATAATGATAATACATGAAAAAGTGTGGCACCATCCAAAGGGAGAGTGAGAATGAAATGGGGTTTAACATTCACTCGACACAAACTAGGTTATTTCAGGACTAACCGTAGGGGTCTTTAGCAGTGGGAGGAAACCGGAGCACCCAGAGAAAATCCACGGGGTTGGACAGACGTCCCTACTCCTTGTCATATTCAACCCGGGAATGGAACCCATGCCAGTTGACTCAATGACATACCTTATGATACAACACGCATGCGCTAAATCGATGGACACACTAGCCGAATCGTTCGGCTGAATGGGTGGACACACTAGCTGAATGCTTCGCCCGATTCAACCTGTCGGTTGCATCACCTTTCACGTCACATGATTAAACATGGCGGCGTCTGTGTCTTTAATCTATCATGTGACTTCTCGATATGAGTGGTGATTGGCTAATGAATTCTATATTCGGCCGTTTGCTTCGGCGAAGCGAACACACCAGGCGAATATAATTGATTCGGGCGAATTATTCGGCCGAATGACAGTGGACACCGAATCATTCGGCTAGTGTGTCCACCGCCTAACCATTTGTCCATCCGACCCTCCGCCAGTGCGTTACCAGGGAGTTTTGTCTGGACAGGAGTGCTAAGGCCTACTCTTATATTGAATTCCAACTGCAAGGGGATCTTTAAGTGCATGCCAATGTGTACATGGGACCTCAGAGAGAATGAAATGGCATTTATCATCAACTCGACACAAACTAGGTCATTTCTGGACTAACATATATAGTTTAATTTTATTTCAATAATTCGCGTGCCCGTAGGGGTCTTTAGCAGTGGGAGGAAACTGGAGGACCCAGAGAAACCCATGAAGTTTGACAGGCGACCTTACTCCTTGTCATGTACAACCAGGAAATCGAAACCACGCCAGTTGACTCAATCATACCTTATGATACAACGCGCACACGCTAACCATTTGGCCATCCAACCTCGCGCCAGTGTGCTACAAGGGAGTTTTGTTTGGACAGCAGTGCTCAGGCCTACTCTTATATTGAATTCCAACTGCCAGGGGATCTTTTATGTACATGCCAATGTGTACATAAGACCTCAGTTTTTCGTCCCATCCAAACGACTAGACAGCTGTCCTTGTCAAGCCCTCCGTCCTGCACCACTGACAAGCGGAAACCACGTCGGAAAATTCTGATGAGCTTTCTCAGGCAACACTGTGAGCGAACCTGTGACCTCCAAGCAAGCCAGCCAGTGTCTTATTCACTTAGCCACTGTGGCAAAGGGGTCATAAATATAATTCCACAAAAAAACCTGTGCAGTTCACAAACACATTCTCCTTACTATTCGAGTCTCTGTGACTACAACAACTACTCGAAAGTAGTGCGAACTGTAAATTTTATTTTGTTAAACCATCGTAAGAAAAGAAACATATTGAATATGCTTGTCAATATTCTTTCTCTGTCAGAGCAGCTAAAAGGTGAAATTGTCTTCCAAAAACTCTTTGTGAGTCCTCTTCCATCCAAAACTTAAAAAAAAATTATTTCAAAAATGGTGTTGAGAGAGAGAGAGAGAAATGGGGTTTAACAAGAGAGAGAGAGACAGAGAGAGAGAGAGAAATGGGGTTTAACCTCCACTTGACACAAACTAGGTCATTCGGGACTAACATATAGTTTAATTTTATTTCAATAATTTGCTTGCGCGTAGGGGTCTTTGGCAGTGGGAGGACCCGGAGAAAACCCATGAGGTTGGACAGGCGACCCTACTCCTTGTCACGTATAACCGGGGATTCGAAACCACGCCAGTTGACTAAATGACAGGTCGTCACCATTCGGCCATCCAACCCCCCAAAAATGGTGTTGAAATGGGTGTTTTTGTGAATGCGCTTAGAAATACTCATGTGTAATGAAGTGCTATAATTGAACCATAATAATAATATAGTAGGCCTAGTGGACTCCTCCGTCTCATTTTGGTTGAATGTTTGGAAATTTGATGGCTAATTAGATTTAGGACACTCTGGCATATTTTCTAGACTTGGCTTCATGTGGCCTGTTTTCCATGCATACAAGAATTAACCAATTAGAAGTTAAACAAAATAAAATCTGCTCCAAAATATTACAATACTTTTTTTTATTTCATTGCCCAAAACACCTTTACAGCCTGAATGTTAATTTTGGGGCAGCGTTTAACTGCATGGGTGGTAATTGAATTTATTAAATTGACTAACTTTTGCACAATAAGTAAATATAAATTATCTTAATACCCCAACTCAGACAAGTTAGTGGCCTTTCAAACCAATTTAAATTCGGTCAAAATTTGTAGAAATTTAGATATTATTTTATTGCATGTGTGTACAATTTGTTATGTGTCTAAGCTCTGTTACCACAAAAAATATATTTAATTTAGTCCTTATAGTAGATTCTATCACACGTTTGAAAGTTGTCCAACGGTCGAATAAATATGTTGTAGTTTGACCTAGATAAATATAAGACTGGGAAAATAAATATAAAAAAAATTCCGACATCTTAAAAGTAGATACCTATATTCGCAATGGAAATATTATTTTAAAAATCGGGATTATTTAATTTGATACAACTGAATAAAATGGCTCTAGTCGATCTATTTAAAAAAACATCAACCAAATATACGAGTTGGGCAACTGCCAGTGCAGTACTGCATCCGTCGTGATCCGAATAAAGCTGTACGTATGTATATTATATCATGTGCATGCTTAAAAAAAGGCCTCTGAATCATATAATAATTTCTTCAATTTTACTATTCATAAGCCTAAAATATTACGTAGTTATAGACTATATATAAAATATTGAAGTGCGTAGGCCTACAGTTGATAGTCGCATAGACTCCGTTATCTACGTATATGATATATGCCGCCATTTTGGGTCAAGGTCAAGATAAATTACAGTCAATACAAATGAATAACTACATCGATAGATTATTAAATGTAATTTCTATTAACTGATTTCAATGTTAGGTGGTCTATGTTTGTTGTCTTTTTCAGTATATTGTCCACATTGATTAAACTATCATTATTAAAATCATTTTGATTCTTCTATATTTGTACGTACTTTTTTACAACTCTGAACCCGGAAGCGAGGTATTCTGGGAAGGTTATTTTAAAGATGGCGGGCGTTTTGGAATTTATTCGTGGAGTGCATGAGAAATGTTCAATATACAGCTACTTGGATTACACAAACAGAGAAAGATAGATTATACCAGTTAAATTGAGAGGTTTTATTTGAAAGTAAGTTTTTTCTTATATCCCCGACTGCTGATATACACGTATACTGAGACTACAAATTCAGCGATATGAAAAGAACTTACAATACAATGTAATAGTAGTAAAAATACTAATAAATACTATTCACACAGATGTAAAATTATTTCTGTCCTTATTTTTCTAATTTTTCACCGTAATTCTTACTTCTGTAAGACGCCAGGTTACGAAACAGTTTGCTTTTGTGAAAAAAAAAAAATTACTATCAGGTTATTACTGTACACATTTTCATTTTTACTTAATTAATAATTACTTAGACCTTTTGGACTAAAAAAAAATATGTCCTCACTACTCAACGCTGCAGGCTTTGGCACATGACATTTTTACTTTCATAGCATTGGCAACACTTTAATCTCAATCTTCTCTGATTCTAAATAGCAGAAATATAGCAAATTCTTCTGTAACACTGTAATCAACCAGAACGTAATTCCAAACTTGACGTCTCCCCCTTGGACCCCGGCTGCTATTGCTTTTCATCAAAAATCTACCTGCTGTGCATAACTAAAGTTGACTTTTGAGCGCACGACAGAGAGTCTGGAGAGGGCCAACGCCAGTCTCTGCAGGCTGGGGCCAATGTACAGTCTTTCGAATGGGACAAAAAACCAAGGTATTTTGTACACATTGAATGATAATTTAAACCTAATTTCATTTTGATTTTGGAGTATAAAAGTTGCTTTAATTGAATTTTTTTTTGTTTTTTTTTTTACAGACCCTATATTTGAGCACCATTCATGGCAGTCATGTCGAGGAAGTTATAAAAAGGCTGATAAGGGCTTTGTATATGGAAGCTAGATGACATTACTACTTATCATACACAACTATTTGTCACATACCGACTTGGGATTGAAACCAAGCGACTGAACTCAATAACATTCCTCAATAACACTCGTCTATGAAACCACCCAGATGGCAAAGAAATAAAGACTTTTTAATTATGTACCGAACTCATATATGTATCTATGGTAGCACAAAATTCACCAGAATGTAGGCCAAAGCTTTACTTTACAAGCAGTAGGCTTAAAATATTTTCCGTCTGATCTTGTAAGAGTCAATTGTTTATGAATAGTTTGCCTCAAGCAGATATCCTGTCACTGTGTCACAGTATCATATAACCGCTCTTTGGCTTGAACTGAGTTGTATCAGTGAGTTGAAAATCTACTGCAGCCAGTATATTAGATTCAAAATTCTAACGAGCTTTCGTCTAACTTCTAACTTCTGTTCATGTATTTTTTTAACTTCTATTCATGTAATTTCTAACTTCTATTCATGTATTTTGTTAAATTAAGACAATGTATAATCCAACTTCTTTATTTGTTCAGTGTAAATTTTAATTCTATTCCATCTTATTTCTATTATTTAGACGAAAAACGTCTTCTTAATTTTTACACTTCTGCCTAGCAACCATCATTATGAAGTCATTTGGTGTCGCCACTGCGTGCTCATTTTTGGTGATTGCGCACCTGGTCGGGACCATTGTGTTGATATAAACGACACATTCTTGATAAAGACGAGAGTGTCCTCGTCGAAACGTTGCTTTATATTAAACTCAGTAAGAGTTATCTATAAAATTGTACCCTGTGTTAATGTAGACCAACAGTATATAAATATTAATTGGCTCAACTTGTCTTAAAAAAAATGAACAAATGCTGTTTAGCTTGTATTTGAAATAGAAAATGAAATATAATGGGGTTTAACATCCTACTATTCTACTCCGAACTTGGCTAATACGCCATACAGTGTGCTACGAAGGAAACTTTGCCCGGACAGCGGCACTACGGAACGATTAGACAGCTGTACTTGTTAGGCCCTCCATCCTGCATCACTGACAAGGAGGAACCATGCCGGAAAATCTGGATGAACTTTCTTGACCAATGCAGGGATCGAACACCCTACCGCTAGGCTAGTGAGCCAGCGTCTTACCGACCGTATTTGAAATCGTATTTGCAAACCATACATAGATATCACGTTCAATGTTGTTTGTGGGGTTGGACGGCCGAAAGGTTAGCACGTGCGCGCTGTACCATAAGGTATGTCATTGAGTCAACTGGTGTGGTTTCGATTCCCAGGTTGTACGTGACAAGGAATAGGGTCGCCTTTCCAACCTAGTGGGTTTTCTCCGGGTCCTCCGGTTTCCTCCCATTGCTAAACACCCCTACGCGCAAGCGAATTATTGAAATAAAATTGAACCATGTTAATACCGAACCTACATGTAGTTTGTGTTGAGTGGACGTTTAACCCCATCAGACTCTCTCTCTCTCGCTCTCTCTCTCGAAGTTGTTTTCAATTTTAGCACTCCACCAAACCATTCAACTGGACTAAGAGCGAGTCATTTGTATCAACAGAATGGTCCCGATCAGGTGCTCAATCGCCAAATTGAGCGAACGGTGGCGACACCAAACGACGTCATAATGATGGTTGCTAGGTAGAAATCAAAATTCTAAATTTGTTTACCATTCATGCTTAACATGTAAAGTGACTAGACATTTTTCGCCTTAATAATAGAAATAAGATGAAACAATTAAAATTTACACTGAACAAAAAAAGAAGTTGAATTATACATTATCTTAATTTAGAAATTACATGAATGGAAGTTAGAAATTACAAGAGTAGAAGTAAGAAATTAGACGATAGCATGTTAGAATTTTGAATCTAATATACCGCCATAGTATACGGGGAAACTTTTTAAACCCTTACAAATTCTTCAAATTTTTGTGATAGATCAATAATAGCAAAAATCTGTGTTAAAATTATATTTGTAATGTGTTTAACAAATTCTATCACACATGTAATATTGGTGTAATTTAGTATATACCTTATTTCAATACTGGGGTATTATATCGTTGCCCTGACTGTTTGTTTGTCCAAATTAGTTTGTGATTGTGAAGGTGACAGTTTTTTATACGCTAACATTTTCATGTAGACGTATATTTTTGTAGCCCCTGTCCGTCCGAACGTCCATCGGTCCGTCCACAATTGTTTGTGGGACCGTAACTTCATGGATTATGGCCCCTGATTGTACTGAAAGTCATGTTTTTAGCTTGTGGACCCTATAGAGGTCAAAATTTTTATATGCCCACATTTTCATGTGGACGTATATTGTGGTAGCCCCGGTCCGTCCGGATGTCTGTACACAATTGTTTGTGGACACTCTACAGGTCACAATTCTTATCCGATTTTGACGAAACTTGAAATATAGGTTTATCTCCAAAAGATCTTGGTTGCTTTCGATATTGGCATGTATCTGACCGTAACTTCTTGGATTATGGTCCCTGATTGTACGAAAAATCAAGTTTTTAGCTTGTGGACCCTATAGAGGTCACAATTTTTATACGCCCACATTTTCATGTGGACGTATATTGTCGTAGCCCTTGTCCGTCTGGACGTCCATCCGTTTTTAGCTTGTGGTCCCTATAGAGGTCACAATTTTTATACGCCCACATTTTCATGTGGACGTATATTGTCGTAGCCCCTGTCCGTCCAGACGTCCATCCGTTTTTAGCTTGTGGTCCCTGTAGAGGTCACAATTTTTATTCGATTTATAAAAAAAAAACAATGGGAATATATAACCATTACACACTAAGATCTTGGTTCCTTTTCATAATCGCGCATATCCGAACGTAACTTCCTCGATTATGGCTCCTGATTGTTCGAAAAATCGCATAATCAAGGTTGAATTCGAATTAAGGGAAAATCAAAATGAAACTGCCTGACAAAATGTGTAAAAGTATGCAATATGAAGGCATTGGATACTCAAGATTTTAACTGGCCTGCAATTTAAAAATTTAATTAAAAAATGGGAAAGTGAGGCCAAGTCTCGAATATACCTGTGCCCTCATTACCACAATGCACACATCATGTCGAAACTAGAAACTGTGATAACTTGGCTCAGAATGAAGTAATTTGAATGAAATTTTCATTTTACATGTATATTATTTATTTTTGAACAATCATAGCAAGAATGGTCAGCTCTTTATCTAAATCTGGGCTAATGAAGACGAGCATATGCCATACAGTGTACTATGAGGGAAATTTTGCCTGGGCAGCGGGGCTACGGCCTACTCTTATATCGAATTCCAACTGCCAAGGGATCTTTTACGTGCATGCCAATGTCTACACGGGACCTCGGTTTTTCGTCCCATAACGACTAGACAGCTGTCCGTCTGTCAGTTCCTCCGTCCTGCATCACTGACAAGGGAAACCACGCCGGAAAATCAGGATGAACTTTCTCGGCCAATACAGGGATCGAACACCCGATCTCCAGGCTAGCGAGCCAGCGTCTTACCCACTTAGCCACTTGATCCCCCCCTTTGGTGAAAGAAAGAGAGAGAGAAATGGGGTTTACCGTCCACTCGACACAAACTAGGTCATTTCGGGACTAACATATGGTTTAATTTTTTATTTACATAATTCGCTTGCGCGTAGGGGTCTTTAGCAGTGGGAGGAAACCGAAGGACCCGGAGAAAACCCACGAGGTTGGACAGGCGACCCTACTCCTTGCCACGTACAACCGGGGTTTCGAAACCACGCCATTCGACTCAATGACAGACTTTATGATACAGCGCGCGCACGCTAACCATTCAGCCATCCACCCCCCCCCCCCCCTTTGTTGAAAGAAAACAGAGCTGTGGCTAGTGAAATGAAAGTTTAACGTCCTACTGTTTTGCTCTGAACTGGGCTAATGAAGATGGGCATACGCCATACAGTGTGCTATGTGGGAAATTTTGCCCGGACAGTGGCACTACGGCCTTCTCTTATATCGAATTCTAACTTCAAGGGCTCTTGTACGTGCACGCCAATGTGTACATGGGACCTCATTTTTTTGTCCCATTTTAATGACTAGACAGCTGTCTTGTCTAGCCCTCTGTCCTGCATCACTGACAAGGGAGAACCACGCCCGAAAATCTGGAGTAACTTTCTCGGCCAATGCAGGGATCGAACACCCGACCTCCAGACTAGATAGCCAGTGTCTTACCGACTCAACCAACGTGATCCCCGTTGTGGCTACAATTCCTGGATTTGAAGGTCAGGTATGATATGAAACGAATATTTTGAACCGGTTCACCAATGCAACCAATCCGTGACGGGTTAACTGATAGAGGGTTACATCCTTGATATAAATATACTTGTCGCGGGTTTTAAAAATAGAAATATATATATAAAGGTAGCTCAAAATTCATCTCTACATGTACAGAGGCCAAGGGGGGATCATGTGGCTAAGTGGGTAAGACGCTGACTCGCTAGCCTTGAGGTCGGGTGTTCGATCCCTGCATTGGCCGAGAAAGTTCATCCTGATTTTCCGGTGTGGTTTCCCATTGTCAGTGATGCAGGACGGAGGGCCTGACGAAGACAGCTGTCTAGTCGTTTGGATGGGACAAAAAAAAAAACAAGGTCCAGTGTACACATTGGCGTGCACATAAAAGATCCCCTGGCAGTTGGAATTCGATACAAGAGTAGGCCATAGCGCTGCTGCCCGGGCAAAATTATCTCATAGCACACTGTATGGCGTAACCTTTTGCGTCTCTTCAAAATATTTCAAATCTTTTGTCATGGATCAACCATTGCAAATATCCATGTTACAATTATATTTGAAATGTGTTAAACCAATTCTGCAACACATGTAATATTGGTGTAGTATATATCTTTGTTTATACACCCACATATCAATTTTGGCCCTGTTTGTCCGTACACTGGGTGTGAAATGTGAATCATTCCGATTGTGAGAGGACAAGCATTATCAATATACAGCTTTTCAGGACTTTGCTTTCCTTGGTTAATTCTCCCTAGTCTAGTCGTTTGGATGGTACGAATGATCGAGGTCCTGTGCACACATTGGTGTGCACGTGAAAGATCCCTTGGCAGTTTGAATTCGATATAAGAGTAGGCTTTAGCGCCGCTGTCTGGATAAAATTCCATAATAGGACACTGTATAGCATATTTCCATGTCATTAGCCCTGTCGGAATAGGACATTAAACCCATTTCATTTCACTCATTCCAAAGTTAACTTCTATTCCATCAATACCTTGAGCAAATAAGATAGAGGCTATAGGTTTTGGCCCAATTTGGTCAATATCCCAGTTTTTTCTTTCTTATATGCATATCAACACTTTCATAGCGCTAATGTAGACCTTTTTCTTGAACATTTTCCCGTGTCAGTGATGCCGGACAGAGGACCTGACATGGATGGCTGACTAGTCATACGGAAGGGACAAAAAAACCAAGGTACAGTGTAAACTCAAGTGTGTGTGTGTGTGAAAGATCCCTTGGCAGTTGGAATTTTATATAAGAGTACGCCATAGCTCTGCACACTGTGTGGCATATGCCCGTCTTCATTTCTCAAACAGCTGTGGATAAAAACTGTTAATATTTAAATGTGTATTTTGTATTTTATAACATTATATTTTTGTCTTTTAAATAAAGTATATGTATACATACTTGTAGTATATTTTGTCATATAATTCTGCTAGATTTTTAACTTTTCTGTGCAATACATTTAGAATTCTGACTGGTTATGGGTAGATAGAGAGCAATGGGGTAAAACATCCAATAGACATAAACTGTCCTTTGGGACTAAGTGATTCAATTCAAGTTGAATAATTCATCCGCACCAGAAATCTTTAGTAGTAGGAGGACCCAGAGAAAACCCATGTTCAAGTTGGGTGTGGAAACAAACCACTTGACTCAATGACAGACCTTATGATCTAAAGCGCACACGTTGGACCACTCAACTTTTAGCCTCACCCACGGGTCAGGAAAATTTGATTATTGGTTGAATGTACTTCCCATTTACTGCCGCAAATAATGAATAATTTTGAAGGTTTTAATGCTCATCAAAATTTGACTTTAGAATTGCATCCGTAAATGATGTTAATTTAATGTTAGATTTACGGTATAATGATCGGTTAGATATCCATCATTTTGCTCATCCTTTTAACGACAATTTAACGTCAGGAAATGACGTTAATCTAGCGTAAAGTTTACGTCATTTTTATGTTATATTTACATCATTTTCTGACGTAAATCTAACGCAAAGTTTACGTCATTTTCTGACGTAAATCTAACGAAAATGACGTAAACTTTACGCAAATTTTACGTTAGATTTACGTCAGAAAATGACGTAAAGTTTACGTTAGATTTACGTCAGAAAATGACGTAAATATAACGTAAAAATGACGTAAAGTTTACGTTAGATTAACGTCATTTCCTGACGTAAAATTATCGTTAAAAAGATGAGCAAAATGATGGTAAACTGACTGACCATTTTTACGTAAATGTAACGTAAAATTAACATCATATTGTTATGTGGGTAGTTACTGATTAGACCTAATTACAGATTATTTTAGACACTGTTCGAAAATATGGGCCAATAAGTCATACAAATTTGAAAACTAATACTAGCAATACAGTAGCATAACGGAAATCAGAATCCATTATACATATATTGTGTGTAATTATGTTATAGAAATAATGTTCAAACCATACAAATTTGAAAACTAATACCAGCAATACATTAGCAACGGTTATCAGTTTTTTCAAATATGATGTATATAAAAG